TATATATATATATATATTAGTATATTTTGGTAGCAGTCTTTCCTGTAGACATATATTATTAAATATGACCGAAAAAGTAAGATTAATAATTCTAACACGAATTTTCTCAATCTTTCGTACATTACGCTTCACTGTTGGAGGTAAATCAAAAATTAATTCTCCAAAATTCATTTTTATTTCTAGTCTGACGCGACACGGGCGCGTTTCGTAAAACTTATTACATTTTCAAAGACTTTAGTTCACAAATACACAACTGAATAGAACTTACGTATCTCCGATTTTATATCTACATTTGAGTGAGGTGGGAGGGGTGATGTGGCATTAACACAAGACAGAACAAGAGGGGATATTAATAGGGTATTAAAAGTATCAACACAAGACAGAACACAAATAATGGGTATTGAATAGAAGTGTTTGTAGAAAGCCTATTGGTCCATATTTCTTGATGCTTCTATATTGGAGCGGAGTCTTGAGGTGGGTAGAATATAGTTGTGCAATAATTGGCTGTTGATTGCTGGTGTTGACTTCTTGATGTGTAGTGCCTCGCAAACGTCAAGCCGCCTGCTATCGCTGTATCTATCGATGATTTCTGTGTTGTTTACTAGGATTTCTCTGGCGATGGTTTGGTTGTGGGAAGAGATTATATGTTCCTTAATGGAGCCCTGTTGCTTATGCATCGTTAAACGCCTAGAAAGAGATGTTGTTGTCTTGCCTATATACTGGGTTTTTTGGAGCTTACAGTCCCCAAGTGGGCATTTGAAGGCATAGACGACGTTAGTCTCTTTTAAAGCGTTCTGTTTTGTGTCTGGAGAGTTTCTCATGAGTAGGCTGGCCGTTTTTCTGGTTTTATAGTAAATCGTCAGTTGTATCCTCTGATTTTTGTCTGTAGGGATAACGTTTCTATTAACAATATCTTTCAGGACCCTTTCCTCCGTTTTATGAGCTGTGGAAAAGAAGTTCCTGTAAAACAGAGACAATCGGAATGATAGCGGACAGAGTGTATCGTGATCCAGCCTGTACTCCTCTTGACATACCAGAAAATATTCTGAGGAAACTACTCCAAGCTTGTACTAAAGAGGCACCCTTCTTGAGCCCGGATGGGCACATGTATAAGCAAGTAGATGGGGTCGCCATGGGTTCTCCCCTAGGTGTCCTGTTTGCAAACTTCTACATGGGTACCATCGAGCAAAAAGTCTTAGTCGACATGAACTTGAAACCGGCCATATACTGCAGGTATGTTGACGACATTTTTACACAGGTACCTGATGTCAGACATCTGCAGGAGCTGAAGGAGGCATTTGAGCAGAGTTCCGTGCTGCGTTTCACTTACGAGATGGAAAAGGATGGGAAGCTGCCCTTTCTAGATGTAACAGTCATGGAAAAGGGCGGAGGTTTCCACACTGCAGTCTACACTAAGGAAACAAACATAGGAATGTGCCTAAATGCCAACAGCGACTGCCCTGACAGGTACAAGAGGAGTGTTGTTAACGCATATGTCGACCGTGCTCTCAGCCACAGCTCAGAATGGAAGCAAGTCGACGAAGAACTCTGTAGGGTAAGGCAGGTCCTAGTCAATAACGGCTTCTCCAATGGTTTCGTCGAAGACATCATAAGAAGGAAAGTGAAAAGCCATGCAACCTCTGAAGAGACAACTAACACAACACCTATACCCCCTATTAGACTATTTTACAGGAACTTCTTTTCCACAGCTCATAAAACGGAGGAAAGGGTCCTGAAAGATATTGTTAATAGAAACGTTATCCCTACAGACAAAAATCAGAGGATACAACTGACGATTTACTATAAAACCAGAAAAACGGCCAGCCTACTCATGAGAAACTCTCCAGACACAAAACAGAACGCTTTAAAAGAGACTAACGTCGTCTATGCCTTCAAATGCCCACTTGGGGACTGTAAGCTCCAAAAAACCCAGTATATAGGCAAGACAACAACATCTCTTTCTAGGCGTTTAACGATGCATAAGCAACAGGGCTCCATTAAGGAACATATAATCTCTTCCCACAACCAAACCATCGCCAGAGAAATCCTAGTAAACAACACAGAAATCATCGATAGATACAGCGATAGCAGGCGGCTTGACGTTTGCGAGGCACTACACATCAAGAAGTCAACACCAGCAATCAACAGCCAATTATTGCACAACTATATTCTACCCACCTCAAGACTCCGCTCCAATATAGAAGCATCAAGAAATATGGACCAATAGGCTTTCTACAAACACTTCTATTCAATACCCATTGTTTGTGTTCTGTCTTGTGTTGATACTTTTAATACCCTATTAATATCCCCTCTTGTTCTGTCTTGTGTTAATGCCACATCACCCCTCCCACCTCACTCAAATGTAGATATAAAATCGGAGATACGTAAGTTCTATTCAGTTGTGTATTTGTGAACTAAAGTCTTTGAAAATGTAATAAGTTTTACGAAACGCGCCCGTGTCGCGTCAGACTAGAAATAAAAATGAATTTTGGAGAATTAATTTTTGATTTACCTCCAACAGTGAAGCGTAATGTACGAAAGATTGAGAAAATTCGTGTTAGAATTATTAATCTTACTTTTTCGGTCATATTTAATAATATATATATATATATATATTCATTAGGCATTAATAAAACATATTTATTTATTTATATATTTTTTTAATCATCTAATTTAGTTTACACAAGTTATAATAAACGAGTCATTTATCCTCAAGTTAACAGAAGCTCGTTCTTCAATCCGTTTGTATAATATCCATCCTATTCAGTCCTCATCTCTGTAAAATTTGAAGAATAACAGTTTAGATAGCGTTTACACATGTACAATATTCATCAAACACGTAAAAAGCTCAAAACAAATGTACTCACCATTTTCGGATAGTTAATTCGTCTGTAGCCTCATTCAGGTCGCCGTCTCCGAGCACATTTTCCAGCAAATATCGCTCCTATTGTAACATAGCGTTTCATAGCAGCTCGGCATATTTTTAAATAAAGCATAAGATAGCCTCATTATGTTCCTATCATTCTGCATTTAATCTCCGCAAGTAAAACTAGTTTCAAATAGCTTTAATGCAGCTTTTAGATCCTTGTTTGAAAGATGATAACAGAAAAACATAGCATACAGCCTGCATACGTATGTATTTAAACTGAAGTCACTTTGTAAACGTGTATACATCGCAGTCTTTATAATAATTTAAAAACTCCGAAATGTAAGGCGAATACACATTTATTCCATAAGAATCTAGCATAACTATTTTCCTTTTAGATTTATATACAGCAGTTCAGTGACCCATTACTTCCTTAGAGTCTCTCCCTAATGTGTTTATTATAAACATAATCGGACTATCCCTTATTCGTTTCATTATTCTATATATATCCGTCGCTAAATAGCATCCGATATATTCAGCTTTATTACCTGTCATATTGTTCAATGCCATTAATTTGTTTGCAGTTCATGCTCTTGTATCGCACATAACTCGCTGATCAGAATAAATTCTCAAGACTCCCGTTGTATTTCGAAATAAAATAATAACTTTATTTGATTTCACTGGAACAGCAAATTCTAATGTAATTCTCAAGTTGCCCGAAGCCTCTATAGCAGGGGTGGGCAACCTCTGGCACGCGTGCCAAACTTGGCACGCCGATGACTTGTCTCTGGCACGCAAGAGCATAGGTTACTCTAAGCACAGATGCAAGCACATGTTACCCTAAGCACAGACAAAAAAAAAAAAACTACTTTCCTTGGGGTATAAGCTTACATGCCATGACAGTATATGTACGTCCTGGTGGTGAAGAAGTTTAAGCTCTACGAAGCTAAAGAGGTCGCAAGAAAAAGAAGTTGATCTTGTTGCCATAGTTACCTTCTTTTTTTACGTCATCGATCATGCCGATGTATGATGATTCACCTGTATTTACTGTGGCTCATATTTTATGTAATAAGCCTTTCTAACCTAAAGGCTGCACCTATACCAAAGTGTACACTGACAATCATATCTGTGAAGGCAATATACGCCATGCCTGCCAACCTTTAAAAATTAATTTTGTAAACTTTGAATTTAAACCCCCACAACATCTCCCCCCCCCCTAAACCTCATGTGTTTGAATGCCGCCCGACTTCAGTTTGACGCATATTAATTAAACTCACTTTACTATCTAAATCTAAAGCATCTTCACCTTCGAAAGCTAAAGAAAGATAAGAATTCTTATGCTCTCCCCTTCCCTCCATTGACGGCCGTAATATAGCCAGTGAAATCAACAGTCCCCCACCCCCATGAAGTCCCCGTAATGAACACATGTTCAGACGATCTCAGACTCGTAACTCTCTCTCGCAGTCTTGCTTTATAGTGTTTCTCACAGTTGCTCACTTGCCTCCTCCCCGAGAAGAAGGTCAGTACTTCATCTCCAGGTGAAAATTATTCCCCTTATAAATCAATAACTTTGTGAAACAATATCATTGTAAGAATAGTCTTAATCCTTAAATTCACACGTACTCGCTCGCCTGCTCCCTAAGAACAGAGCTGACATAGGCAAGATGTCACCGACTCAACGATGTTTCGCCACAACACACCACACAAACACACAAAAACGCGTTTTGTCTATCGAACCAAGTGAAGTCTTATAAACTCTTGGCATAAGTACTCAATGCCTAGGAAGTAGTGTCATTGTGATAAGCGGCTGCTGGTGTTGTTTCTGGAATTATGTAAAATAAAGAAAACCCTCTAATTTTCATAAAAGAAAAAAAAAATCCTCTGAAGATTTTTATTATGTTCATTGTCTCGTCACTCTTACCTCAAACATTGGCTTATTAAACTTATTGATTGGTTGATTGGTATTAGAATAAACGTACGTATACTTTACTACAAAGTTTGTGTGTGCTATAATATTAACAGGAAATAAATAATTCTTTAAATACTCGCATTTCAGTAGAAATGCGAGTATTTAATTTCATTTTCATTTAATTTTAACTTATTTTAATTTCATGCCCTTTACAGATTGTACAGAATGTCACCACCACCAGCTAAGAAACGATGTCAGTCAAATGAAGAGGATATTAGAGAATTTAAGGAATACTGGACTGAAAAGTTTGGCATGATTAAGAAGGATGATAAAGCTTCATGCATTTTCTGTTCTGACACAGTTGTTTGTAGAACTTCTTCTGTAAAGAGACATTTTGAAAATGTTCATAAGAACTTAAGCAATAAAACTGAGGAGGAACAAAGAGAATTAATTTCTCGTGAACTGAGCAAGACAAAAACACAAGCTGAAACTTTTATGAATTATATTTCAGGTAGGTCTAGTTCCAACTTAGTTGCTGCTAGTTTTGAAGTTTCAAAAGTTATTGCCCAACACGGAAAGCCTCTCTGTGATGGGGAGTATATTAAAGAAGCTTGGCTAGAATGAGCACCTTTTCTTTTTGACAACTTTTCAGAAAAGAAAAAGATTATTCAGCATTAAAGATTTGCCTGTGAGTAGGAAAACAGTTAAGGATAGGATACTTAAGTTGGAAAGAAATACAGCTGAACAATTGACAAAAGATTTGTCTTCATGCAAGTTTTTTTCTATTTGTGTTGATGAAAGTACAGACATTACATCATCAGCTAGGCTAGCCATATATTCTAGATTTTGTAGGGGTGATGAAGTATGTGAAGAGATGGTTGCTCTTGCATCACTACCTGAGCGTACTACCGGGGATGAAATATGTAAAACAGTTGTGAACGAATTCTCTACTCGGCAAATTGACATTTCAAAAGTAGTATCCGTCACAACAGATGGTGCCCCAAACATGCTTGGTGAGAAGGCAGGATTTGTAAATCTGTTTGCAAAAAGTGTTGGTCATCCACTGATTGGCTTCCATTGCATCATACATGAGGAGGCTTTATGTGCAAAAGCTGGCCTAAAGGAACTGCAAGAAGTGATGCAAACAGTTACCAAGGTTGTTAATTACATTTGTGGTCGGCCTTTAAATAAAAGACAATTTCAAACTCTACTGGATGAGGTAAAATCTGTGTATAAAGGACTGAAAATGTACAACCATGTTCGTTGGCTTAGCAGAGGCTTGGTTCTGAAACGATTTATTGAATGCTTAGATGAGATAAAGCTCTATTTGAACGACCAACAAGTGTCATACCAGGAATTTTCTGACATCGTGTTGGTTTGTAAACTGATGTTTTTTGCAGATTTTTGTGAACATTTAAATGAATTGAATATTACGTTACAGGGCGCTGGTAAGACACTTGATGTTATGTTTGTTACATAAAAGCTTTTGAAATGAAGCTTAAAGTTTTTAAGAGGGATGTAGATAATGAGAGATTTAGATACTTTCCAAACCTAAAGAGGTACATCAGTGATCTAAAAGATGACAGAACAGACCACAAATGTCTTCAAAAGATTTATTTATTTATTTATTTATATACAAGAAGGTACATTGGGTTTGTGAGAATACATAGCATAGTACAGTAATTACACGATCTTGTAAAGCCACTAGTACGCGCAGCGTTTCGGGCAGGTCCTTAATCTAACAGATAATTTTAAGTAGGTAAATTCTATCAGAATTAATAAAATGATAACAAATACATTGCAAGAAAAAAATGAGATGAGAGAGATTAGTAAGTATATTAAAGCACATTGGTATATTAAAGCTCTGATTGATTACATTGACAGCTTGATTGGTAATTTAAACAAGATTAATAGACACCATACAGCAGATTGACAGCACATATAAGAAGACAGCAATGATCACAATGATAAAGATGTTCAGATTGGGTACATAAAGATTGGGAGATTGGGTAGCAATAGATACAGTGCAATTTTAAAGCAAAAGGTAAAAAACTATGAAGATGAAATTAGGTACTTTTTAGTATTGTTTTTGAATGATGCAAAAGTTGGACAGCTTTTCAATTCAATAGGGAGTGAGTTCCATAGACTGGGTCCCTTTATTTGCATAGAGTGTTTACACAGATTAAGTTTGACTCTGGGGATATCAAAGAGATATTTATTTCTGGTGTGGTGATAATGGGTCCTATTACATCTGTCCAGGGAGAGTTTCAGAGCAGGATTTGCATTTAAGAACAGGGTTTTGTAAATGTAGTTGACACAAGAGAATTTGTGGAGTGAGATTATGTTTAGCATGTTTAGGGAGTTAAACAAGGGGGCTGAGTGTTGTCTGAAAGCAGAATTTGTTATTATTCTGATAGCAGATTTTTGCTGGGTGATGATGGACTTGAGGTGGTTTGCAGTGGTTGAACCCCATGCACAGATACCATAATTAAGATAGGGATAGATTAGTGCATAATATAGAGAGATGAGAGCAGAGTTAGGTACATAATATCTGATTTTGGAGAGTATACCAACTGTTTTAGAGACTTTCTTAGTTATGTGTTGTATGTGGGTACTGAAGTTGAGTCTCTTGTCTAGGAATAGGCCAAGAAACTTTCCATCATTTTTATTGCTAATGTTTACATTGTCTATCTGAAGCTGAATTGCATTTGTAGATTTGCTTCCAAATAAGATGTAGTAGGTCTTTTCTATGTTAAGTGTTAGTTTGTTGGTTGACATCCATAAGTGGACTTTTTTTAGTTCATTATTAACAACATTATTTAGTGTATGTGGGTTGGGGTTAGAGTAGATGAGGGTAGTATCATCAGCAAACAAAATAGGTTTCAGAATGTTAGAGACATTAGGCAGATCATTGATGTATATAAGAAATAGGAGAGGTCCCAAAATGCTGCCCTGTGGCACTCCAACGGTTATTGGTAGAGTGGGAGAGGTTATATTATTGATGGCTACACATTGGTGTCTATCACTAAGATAGGATTGGATATAGTCCAGTGTATGGCCTCGGATTCCATAATGATGGAGTTTACGTAAGAGGTAATTGTGATTAACAGTATCAAAGGCCTTTCTCAGGTCAATGAAGAGTCCAATCGGAAACTCATTTTTGTCAAGGGCTGAGTAAATTATATCAAGGAGACTAATAATTGCATCGTTGGTACTCTTTTGGGAGCGGAAGCCAAACTGACAGGGGCTAAGAATGTTGAATTTTACGAGATAGGAGTAGAGCTGTTTGTAGATAATTTTTTCAAATATTTTTGATAGTATGGGTAGGTTTGATATTGGTCTATAATTGTTTATGTCTGCCGGATTACCTCCTTTATGAACTGGCGTTACTCTTGCTTTTTTAAGGATATCAGGGAAGGTATGACACTCAAGGGATTTGTTGAACAGCAGAGCTATAGGTGGCGCAAGGGCATGGGAGGCGCTCTTGTATACAATGGATGGTATTTCACTGATGTTCCCAGCTTTGGTTTTTAGTGAGTGTATGATGGACACAACATCTGTCGGGCTGACTGGTGAGAGGAAAAGATAGTTTGGATAGCTGCCTGAGAGATATGTGTCTGAGTCTGTGGGATTTTACTGGCAAGGTTTGCACCAACCGATGAACAGAAGCTATTAAATTCATTCGCCATTTCTAAATCAGATGACGGTGTAAGGCCGACAGTGAGTGTTGTAGAGGCTTAGAGTTTTGAGAGAAAGAGGTTAGTTAATGAGTTTATATCCTGTGTATTATTAAATTCAGATTCCCAGTTAATATTGTGAAGTGCATTAGAAAGATTGCCTAAAGCTGATTCACTGTGTAGCCTGAATGAGAGTTTCTTGCTTTCTGGTGGTGCTGTGTCCATGTTTGCTATGAGGAAAGTAGGATAGTGGTCAGTTGTTCTGTCATAAATTACCCCAGATGTAAGGGGAGCTGTTATATTAGTCCATAAGTGATCCAGGGTAGTGGCAGATGTTTGAGTGACTCGGGTGGGCTTGGTGATTGTGGGGATTAACATACAGGAGTGCATGCTGTTACGGAAATAGTCAACTTGAGGGTTGTTTTGAAGACTCAGGTCAATATTGAAATCACCTCCCAGAATGATGTGATTTTTGTTGAGATTGTTATTTATGATAAGATTCCTTACGTTGTCTGAGAATAAAGCTATGTTGGTATTAGGAAATCTATAGATGGCACCGATAGTCAGAGAGGATTTAAGGGATTTACTGGAGAACTTGGCAAAGGTATATTCACAATAGTCGTCTCTATAAATGAAAGTATTTTATAAATGAATTATATGTCAAGGTATTACAGGCGTTAAAGCCTACTGTATTTTGTGTGTCATAGTATAGTTTCGAACATTTATTCGGGAATTTACATGTTATATTAAATAAATTTGTCCCATCGCGTGTAATATATACATTAGATAAATCGCAGTGATCGAAATAAAGAGGATTAAGCGTATACGCTCCGGATATTGCTTCCATATCCGTCATCATAATAAATAACTTATCCGGGATAATGCTCCCCCCATGGCTGGTCAATACTTAATCTCTGCTGCCCATTCCCAAGAATTAACGTCTTATGGAGTGTCTTATCAAACGTATATGTAACTGGCATATTTTGTTCAGCCAGAGCTCTATTAATAGCCTCTAATCCAGATGCAAACGGAGTTATCCGATCAATCCATATTCTAGCTAGTTTAATGTTAAACTTATATCCAGATTCAATACTGTTTATAACCCACGGATCACTGTTAAGTTCTAATCTCAAACGAATATCAATTCCATCCAAAAGATATTCGCTCAAAGTTGTAATGTCCAATAGCAGTTTAAAGCAACAGTTTACTCCCTTTGTTTTTAATTTTACAAATCTAGATTTAAGGTCATCTGAGGCATTCTTAAAATAATCTACATCATATTTTTCAGGAAAAACATCATTATAGAAATACGTTAGCTCTTTAATCTTTCAGCTTTACATTCAGAAAGCGTTGTCATTAGCTTTACATACGATAAATATGAAAATAGTAAATTAGTTTCAACCACCTGCTCATTTAAATTAACAGTTACAGCCTTAAACATCGTCTGGGATAAGCCGTTAACTATTGATGCATTTTTAATATCCGCTAAAGCCGAAATTCCGTCAGGACCTGTTAATTCAACCATGAGTTCTAACGTCAAGCTCGAAAGATCAATAAATTGACCCTTAACTCCTGGGATACGGAATTCAATATAAGAATCTTTAAATTTATTGTTAATACTTGAATTCACAGGTAAAATATCTTGTGTCTGTCTTGAAAATATCGTACTTTCAACCATTCTATGTGGACTAACTTTAGGAAAGCCATCGCTTATAGCAGCTGTATATTTTTCTAAAGGAACTTGCAATGCTGCACTAGGAGCATTTACACTCATCATGTCTGCATCTAGTATACAACTAGTACTGTTTTATGAAAACACGTCTTTATATCTATCCATTTTCTTTATATAGGCAGGTCTTTTCGTTATTCGTTCACCTGCTATCAATTTAGGACCTATACTTTTCAATGTTTCCATACCGCGTTTTCTAATTGCATCTTTCGAAGTGCCTTGGCCTGTATTTATATCCTGCAAAATATTCTGTCCCATTGTCAATGCAGCTGGCATAATAGTTTTTAATAGGAAAGGAGTTGCTCTACGAGCTAGACCAGTTAAGAAACTTAACTTCCACCTCCCCTTAAATGTCTTCTATCAAAAACAGTAATATCACCCAGTGCTCCACCTCTCTTCCCTCGAGGAGCGATAAATCGCCCTACCTCGTCAACGGACAGCTGTACAAACCCGACCCTTATGTTTAAACGTGTCAGGAAAGAATGATAAACTCCCGCGTCTCTTTACCATTATATATCAATGGGTCTAATATGCAATACTGCAATCGTACATCCTTCATTTTCAAAATATACAGGCTCCCCATCTTGATCTGTTAATTTAATACTTATGCCGTCAATATTAGTCGTATTTAAAGGTTTATATAATTTCCTGTGCGTTGCATTACTTTGAAACGAAACAACATCCAAGATATTTACAATCTGATTACCAAACATGGTTGGCTGCACCTTATCACAATATACACACAAGAAATCTATATGGCCTCCTGGCCTAGGATGATAATAGCATGTATCTTGCACAGTCATCCTGTTATTAGGTAGTTTATTCATAATAAAAATATCATAGGCTTTACCTACTTCAGCTCCAATAACTTTACATATATTTCGACCAAAAGATAAAGAAATGCGAACAATCAATTTACCATCCTTTGTAATAAATAATTTTAATAACTTCTCACTAAATGCTGTATTAAACTTAATTCAATTAATACTCGATTCATATTTCATATAAATGCCCCCATGGTCTGGGAAATTATAATTAAGTACGGATCCTATAAAACTCAGCGAAGCTTTTGAAAATATAGTTGAAATTTCTCTATTTAAAATAGTCGTTATCTCTATGCAATTATCACTGGCTAAAGTATCTGACTTTAAAGTGAAAGATGTATTCACCGTACTCAAATCAGATAAATTTTTATTAG